TGCTGCGTAGCTCCAGTCGGTGCCGGGATATCGTGTCTATACAAGGTTTCCAGTAACTTCGGCAGTGGCCAATCAATGATGCTAGGAGGACTAGAAGATTTCCTCGCAAGGCGAGAGCTCCGACGGACAGAAGCGTTGCTTTCGTCTTGAAAGGCTTCCTCTGCTTGACTTAATTGTTGCTGGGATTCTTCAATGGATTCAACTTGCCATTGGTCTTCATTATTTGCGGTGGTAGACATGATCAGCAGTTGAGTGAGTACAGCAAAATATAGGAGTAATCTCATCGTATTGCGAGAAGCTACGTTAGCAAGCATGCAGTGGAAGCAGCTAAGCAGACAGACTGAAAATGCCTTTAAATAAGGCCCTTGATTGAAGAACTAATTGAAGGCGTATGAATCAGATCAGCTGATAGACTGGGTATCAGCTGATAGCTGAGCTCGACTACGCGGCCTGCCTGAACTGACGCTGAACGCTAGATTTTTTACGTTGAAACGTGTAAGTTTGCTCACATATTTATTCAAATAAAATAGCCTTTTGAAGTTTATTAAATACATTAAGTCATATCGCGATTCCTGCTTTTACTTCCCCAAAACACCTCTTAAAATAATAACTAACACTTTTCATATCATTTAAAGGATCAAGTCAAATTACTCGACCCGTTCCAATTCGCATATAGGGAGAGGCGAGGTACTGAAGATGCCATTAATCTCTAATTTGGATATTAGTCATTTAGAAGACATTCAAGCATATGCCATTAACTTTTTATTGATTTTAGTTCAGCGTTTAATACCCTGAATCCCATGTTGTTGACCACAAAGTTAAAAGAGCTTAAGGTAAATCCATACCAGCAGGGATGCGTTTGCTCACCAATTTTATTTACATTATACACCAATGATTGCATAGCAAGTAAAGACAGTACTTTTTTAATCAAATTTTCTGATGACACAGCAATTTTAAGCTTATTAAATAGGAAAGACAATGCTTAACATTATTTCTCTGAGGTGGACAGATTTGTAGGCTGGTGTGACAATAACTCGCTAATACTCAATGGAACTAAGACGGTTGAGATGATTTTCGATTCTAGAAGAAGGATCATAGTCCGGTGATGACACATGGTAATATCATTGCACAGGTTCCTTCATATAAGTACTTGGGAGTCTATATAGATAATTCACTATGCTGGGCTGCGTTTCCCAAAAGCATCGTAAGCCTAAATTGATCGTAAAAACGATCGTACGACTAATCTTAATATTATGGTCTGTTTCCCAAAAGCATCGTAACTTAAGTAGCACTAGAAAATCTTCGTAGAACTACGAGTGCTCTGGAGTAATCGTAAATCCCCAAGTGCATCGTAAGAAGACAGAGTTATGAGCTCAACTGCAGGACAACCGGCAGATTACACTTTTATCTAGATTTAACAGATTACACTGCAACGTAAGTATAATATAAGGTTTTGATTGTACTTTATTGTACACTTTGTTGTACTCGTGTTTTGTTTAAATGAATAAATGAAATTATTAAAAAGGGAAGAAAAAAATAGAAATACACATCTAAATTAAACGAATGAACAAAAATCAAAAAATCATAAAATAAGTAATCTGGGAAACATGCTTTAAAGACCGGGCAAAATAGGGATGAATTAAAAAAAGCTGTCAATGACTTGCTGACGTGCACGAAAACCAGCCATGTATTGGGCATTTCTTGCGGACCTCCTTCCCTGATCTTTGAACACGGTTGCAGTTAGTTTGCAATGTGACAATGTCCTTCCAGATGTTTTGTTTTTCCTTATTTGTATGGTGTCCTTCAAATCTGTTAAAAATAAAATCTTTGTTTCCCTCTATCTCCTCTAAAAAGACATTAATTTGATCTTTTTGAAAGGTATCTTCTCTTGTTTTTTTGTTTTTGTTCAGCCATTTTGTCAGCCTGTATAGGTGCTTTATATCCATATAGACTTGTCTTGATTTCTAATCCACAACAAATGACGATTATTAGGTTAAACGTTCAGAATACGATTCCATATAAGGTTATATTTCAGCACTTCACGAATGGACAGCGACGCTTAAGTAGCACGTAGAACACGTTTGCGGCGAGCGTTCGTAAACTTGCACGTAGAGAGCGCTCTTAAAGGGGTCATATAATGCCATTTTTGTACAAGCTAGTATGATTCTTTAGGGTCTAAATTAAAAGTTTGTAATATACTTTAATCAAAAATTCTCATTAGTATTGTAAGAAAACACTTATTTTACAAAAACAGTTTTCAGCACGCCGTTTCAGTGCATATGCCTTTAAATGATCATGAGCTTCGCTGACTCCGCCCCTCTGTTCTGTTCTCTGTTCGTAACGCGTTGTTCAGTATAAACGTGGGATTATGAATTACATTGAGAACATCATACATAGAAAACATGCCGTAATGTACCCTGAGTGTAAACCTTAGACGCATTCATTGTGAAGCGTGCAGCTAGCGATTTGCAAAGATTAATATAAATATTAATATAAAGTTTAATAAAACGTTACACTCACTTCAGTTGTTCTGGAGGTTCAGCAGGAACACGAATAGCTGGTACCGATCCTTTTTTCATGAGCAGCTTCTTAGCAAAACCAGCTTTATACTGACCCTCGTTTATAAAGCAGTCTGGTGAGAAATGATTCGCGCAAACATGAGAGCATTGACGTTGCTCGTGGGGAATATTCCCTTCAAAAACAAACTCAGCCACTGCGTCTTCAGCGGTTCGGATTCAGGAACATTAAAATGACTGTGTTCGTTATTACACCCAAGAACAGAACACCACAATCGCTTAGAGCCATTCTGCTCATAGACAGTGCTCCAGCATATCAACAATGACCGCGCCGACTATGATTGACAGCTCCCTCACGAGCGAGGGCGGGTCTGTGTTGAAACGCTGCTGTCAATCAACAATCGTGGGAGGGGCTTCCGAGCGTGTGAAGTCACAAAATCGAACGGCTCAATTTGAGGCAGGGGAAAACATATAAGGAGATTAAAACAAAAACACTGGATGGATTTTTATCATTATATGATGGTTGTGTACAGGCACTGCCAACACACATTTCAGTACAATCAACTTGAAAAAGTGCATGTACCATTATATGACCCCTTTAAGAGCTAAGATACATCGTTATCGGGAAACCCGGCCCTGGTCTCTTCATGTTAACAATTTTTGTTCCAGGTTACAGCAGAGATTATACTTTCTACGCAGGTTAAAAGCGTTCGGAGTGAATCAGAGAATCATGTACTTGTTTTACCAGTCTATTTTCGAGAGCTTGATTAGATATGGTGTCACTGGATCGTATGGTAATTTGTCTGTCCAATTTAAATCGAGGTTAGGACATTTGGTGCACACCGCTGATTGCAAACTATATATTTGTTGACAAGCAGCTAATCTTTAGTTGATTATCAACAGATGGTAAACTAAAGATTTTGTCAGTTTTTAATCTGTTGTCATTTATGGTACTGTAATGGCTACTAATAACTAGTAGTCTCAACAGATGGACTATCAAAATAAAGTGTTACTAGCTATTTTTGCAAAAAACTTGAAACCAAAACCTACACGATACACTAATCTAACCTACAGGTCTTCTGTAGAAAAGCGAAAATAAACCTCTGCGATGTTGACTGACACAGAAGAGTCTCAAGAACACGTGTCACTAATGAACGACCTGCTTTAATAATGGAAAAGTTGTTGTGGATTACATAAAAGACATGAGAGTTGAGATCAACAGTATAATGATATTCATTACATTACATGTGCAGCATACATACACACACACACATATATATAAAGCCTCTAATGACATTACTGCCCTTCAGCTTCATTGATTGGTCTCCTTAATGTCTCTTAATGATCACTTAAATCATTAAACCATCATGTTTCCACAGCAGCTTCCAGACGCCGAACCGCTGAGAACGCCGAGATCTTTCCAGTGATTCTTCATTATCAGCTCAGATTCACACAGAATGATGGAAGTGAAAACACTACATACTGTATGTCTGTCTTTTCTTTTTGCTTATTCATGAACAGATTTAGCTCCTGTAAACCGAATTGCTGATTTATTCCATGCAATAACTGAAAATCATGTGCCAGATCCTCAGTGCTTTATAAAGGTCAGGTAAAATTAAATGCATTATTTCACACAGGTATAATTGCTTCAACACCACTTTTGTAAACCCCACAAACATTCTCCTTATCCAACATCAACCATCTTTAGATGATCGCAATCTAATATTGGCTGTCCAGATCACGTCCACAAACATCCTTCCTTTCTCGTGTTGACCTCCTTCCATCAGGGCTGAAACTGACCAAGTTTTTTAGTAATGTTCACATCATTCAGGTCTGAAATGCACTTTCATGCCACGTTGTGCTTATATACGGCTATAGTAAATATAGATTGGAAGCATCTAGTCCTCTGAAGTAAGTGATTCATGTAAGTCACTGCTGTAGTCATTCATAAATTCAGGTTCAATTAATCTTCACACATGAAGTGAAAATGAGCATTCAAAGAATCAAACAACAATTGTGCATAAACGAATATTCCAGGTATTTTTTAAACCGCATCTGTAGAGGGCGTCGCTGAGTGGTCATTTACCACAGCCAATCATTTTCACTCATTAGTCCTGCCTCATAGAACAACTTAGTGTAAATATCACTCATGTTTAACTAAAGAATTAATACAAGTGCTTAAACAAATACACAAGCTTCGCATTTCTGCGTTTAAACAGAATGACTTCCATTATTATAAAGACTTTCTGTTCTGCAAACTAATAGAGGAGTCAACAACTGTCTATGGTATTAGACAGCGAGTCACGCACGCATTCAAAGAAATTCCTTTGAGAGAAAAGTCTTAAGGAACCCTGAACATGTGGTTTCTTACGGAGAGCACTGGACTGGGCCCGAATGAAGGGGTCCTCAGGTGCTTTAAAAAAATCAAAATATAACGTCCGGCGAAAGGACAGACTTCTCTATGGTGATGATGTGTGCAGGACCTCTCCAATCATTCAGTGCGATTAAACCCCGCCCCTTACATTCAGACCCGCCTCCATCCAATCAGCAACTGCTGGACAGAACCAAGCCCCGCCCTACATTTCTTCTTTTCCGTTTCCATAATGCATAATTCCATAATGATTTCCATAATCAGTTTCATTCAGATGTAAGGCACAATACAGAAGAAAAGATCTGCTGCTACTTCTGTTACATTGCAACCTTTCAGAAGTCTTTTTAACTTTCCATGCCATCTTTAACAGCAAAGCTTATGGCGAGATGCTCAAAAACAGCCAAAGACGTCTGCATGTGTGTGGATGGAGGAGAGGAACTTTACAAATGCAACTTTTTCTGAAAAGACAGCACGCTAATCAAAGCACCACAACTGAAAAACCTAACTAAAAGAAAGATCTGCACCAAACCGTTGATCTCACGGATCGACTGCTCAGATAAAAGCTCCATTCACACAGACTGTCCAGAAGAAACGTGTAGTGAACTTTAAAAGCAGCCTCTGCACCGACGTGTTTATTCATGCCATCTGACCGCCCTGCGCTGGAATCCAGTTTATTGTTCTGCTTATTTCTTGTATTTGCGCATGTAGTCTCAGCTGAGATGGAGGAGCTCCAGCTGAAGGGGTTGGTATAGACTGCGCTGGTGCTTCTCTGGCATTATTGTGTTCAAATCGCACTGAAAAACATGTAAACTCTGCCTCAGATGAAAGCGTGATTGGGCTCAAAGTGAACAGTGGTGTTGGGCTGGTCTCTGGAGTGATGATGATGATGGTCAGATGAAGGTGGAGTCGAGTGCGCTGCTGTCGTGAGCGTTGCGAGCGCGAGCTTCAAACAGCTGCTTGATCAGCGCAGATTTCTCTTGCTCCAGCTGAGTGATGCGCTCGCTCTTCTCTGTCACTTCCTGTAAGTGAAAAACACATGAATATGCAAATAGCCCCGCCTCCACTCACTCACACCAGCTCAGGGATCAGAGATCCACTCAGTCAGTTTTACCGTAGTAAATGCTGCTCGATGGCAAGTGGAAATACTGGTTTATTTCAGCCGTATACTGTAGGGATGTCATGAGAACCGATCCTTCGGTACCAAGTCGGTATCAACATTTTAAAATCCTGACGGTACCTGTTTTTCTACAGTACCGCAAGTATCGATGGTACCGAACATTTATGCACTATAGCATGTAGGTTGGGCCCAAACAGATTATCAGAGCAAATCAGTCATTTTAAAACATTGGCATTGGCATGGTTCAAATCACACTTATCACTTATCAGTTTGTAGCAGTAAACAAAGTTCAGTATGGCGTACCACAAGGCTCAGTACTAGGACCGCTGCTATTCACTCTGTATATGCTACACACACACACACACACACACACACACACACACACACACACACACACACACACACACTCTGTACATGCTACCCTTGGATATCATTAGGAAGCATGGCATTAGTTTTCACTGTTATGCTGATGATACTCAGCTCTATATTTCTTCACGCCCTGATGAAACTTACCAATTCACAAAATTAACGGAATGCATAGCTGATATAAAAATATGGATGACTAGTAATTTACTACTACTAAATTCTGAAAAAGTTTCAAAGTTTCTAATGAGTGGACCAAAAACCTCCGCACATAATAACCTAAAATACTGTCTAACACTCGATGGCTGCTCTGTCAAGTCCTCGTCGTCGATTAGGAACCTGTGTGTGTGTGTGTGTGTGTGTGTGTGTGTGCTCTTTGATACCAATCTTTCATTTGGAAGCCACATTTATAGCATCTGTAAAACCGCATTCTTCCATCTTAAAAATATATCTAAATTACGTCATATGCTGTCATTGACGAATGCGGAACAGTTAGTTCATGCGTTCATGACCTCAAGGCTAGATTACTGTAATGCTCTACTGGGTGGTTGCCCTGCACGCTTAATAAACAAACTCCAGCTGGTCCAAAACGCAGCAGCTCGAGTTCTTACCAGAACCAGGAAGTATGACCATATTAGCCCGGTTCTGTCAACACTGCATTGGCTGCCTATTAAACATCGTATAAATTTTAAAATATAGCTGATTACTTACAAAGCACTAAATGGTTTAGCTCCCAGTGCTTGAGCGAGCTCTTAACGCATTATAGTCCTTCACTGTAATGTGATGCATTTCTGAATGAAACAGGAAACTGTCTCTTATTCGAGTTCACGGATCTGATCGGGTGTTAGGAGTGATGTGTGGTCCGGCTGTGTGTGTGTGTGACCTCTGACCTGTGTGAGCAAGCGGTTGTGCTCCTTCAGTGTGTGTATGGCCTGAGGAGGAGCAGTGCTGGACGAGACGCCGGCCGACAGCGAGTCCGAGGACGAGACCGTCTGAGAACAGCAAACACACACACACACACACACGATACTGATTCAGCTGTAGAATAATTGTCAGGAAACTAAAGCAACATCACTTGATTATTGTCAATCACCTTCACATTTTCCACCACAATAATATATCTATAAATAATATATATAAATAAGGATGTTTATACGAACCTTCCCAGAAAAGGAAATTAAATCACTGAGGCAGCGCGTGATTTCCTGCAGTTTTGGCAGAAGAACATCTATTCGACTTTGACAAGATTCACCCAAAAACTCCTGAAGAAACACAATATGGTGTCAGAAATGAGCTTTTAGATTAATGAGGTCAGTATTTGATCCCTGGAATTGGTTTTCTGGGGCATCTGTATTAACCACAGAAATACACATTCACTGTTCATTTACGTCAAACACTGAAATCAAATTAGCATTTAGAATTTTTCCTTGACAAAGTATTTTTTATTATCTTCAAACTCAGTTTAGTTCTGACACGCATGCCTGTAGTTCTCACTGGACTGAAGCTAAACTCGAAGCTAACCCTAACCCTCATCTGAACGAAAACTGCTTTAAAACTTCAATGCAAACCTCCACTGTTATGCTGTCGTTCGTTGCACTCCACACTCTGAAATATGATTAATTCTGAAAGAATACTTTTTGAGTTACTGGGAACGGTTTTAAAACCGACAACTAGAGTACAATGAAATATCATTAAAAAAAGGAGAGCATTTTTGTCAGAGCTCTGGTTGATTTCGTGTTCTTAATTTCAGTCAGAAAGACAGACTCTCAGACCGCTAGAAACGATCAATAAATAAATGCTCCCATTGGAAGACAGCGGTTTTGAATGAGATGTCTTGATGAGCACAGTAATGACAGCGTGTTAAAGTGATGGGAAACGTACGGTGGAGTGGCGGCTCTGGCCCACGAGTCTCTGGGTCTCAGTGATGTTGTGGATCTGGGTCTGGTACCATTCTCTGGCTCGCTCCAACACATCCAGGCCGGCCAGCAGAGAGTCCTTCTCCTGCTCCAGCTCCTTCATCTGCTTCAGCTGACACAAACACACCGTTAAACTCCCTTAACCCTCTGGGGACCAAGAACGCGCCGGCGCGTTTTGCTGTTTTTTTTTCACATAGCAGCAACATAGACTTAAAATACTCCGTCATTTATGGTCATATAAATAAAATCAATACATGATTATAAACTATAGAGGGTCTTCTTTTTTTGTGTACACTCACATTAACATCAAAACCTTTTTTTTTTTTTTTTATAAATAAAATAAACAGGGTGCGCTTTCAGCCCACTCTGTCTCCGCAAAAATCTTTCTGAAACATGTCTGGAAAATGAACGGAAACTCCGCTAATACTTATCACACAAACATGAAACATACGTCTAAAGAACACTTTAAATTTCTACTTTTAAATAAAACAATTCACATTTAAAACAAATATTCTCCTGCAATGTAATCTGTCTGAAACTAAAGAGAAGTACAGTTTCTCCTGTCTCAGCTTATTATCGTTAATTTGTTCACACCCACTCGCAGAGCGCGCTATTCATAAGATAATGTGTTGAGGCCATATGCTATAGATAAACGCCCCCAGGCAAATGCTGTAAGCACACAATATTTTTTAGTCAGATTAAGATTCGTCTTGCGCGGCTATGAGGAATAATCCTGGGACATTTACCACAGAAGGGCTGGTTTATTTTCACTTCGAAGAGGAGCAACAGATTCAGCTGAGAAGTGTAAGTGTTTTGTGCTTTGTTCTAATCGCGATATAGAATAACGTTAGTGTCTGTAAACGGAAAAATAGCATACTGTTTAAATGTGAATCATGTTTCTCTGTGTGTGTGTGTGTGTGTATGAATGAGTGAATGAACGCACAGATACGCACTGTTACAGACGAAATAAAACAAAATTTCGTTGACTAGTTTTGGATAAAGTTTTTCAAATCAAATAAGCTTCAAATAAGCTTCAAAATAAAGACATCAGCTTTTGTTAGGAGTTTCTGGGGATAGAAGTGTCCAGACTAGGGTTGCCGCGGTGAGGAAAATTTCCCACCGGTTAATCGACGTGTCACAACACCGGTAATCCCGGTGTCACCGTGGGGGGCGGGGCGGGTGGGTTAAATAGCTTTTAAATGCGTGCGCGTTATACTTTCACTTTCGAAATAAGCGTCAATTGGCAATTCAGCGTCAATTGGCAATTCAGCGTCAATTGCTTGAATGGACAAAAAAAAAAAAAAAAACTCGGCTCGCTGATAATAAAACTTTTATTTATAGACAGAACTTTTATTAGCATAACGAACGAATAAAAATAACCCCATGCATAGGCTGAAAATCGTCAAACTGTGGGCCCAAAAAAATAAGAACCATAAAACGTTTATTAACGAATAAGAAAATAAAACAGGCCTAAATAAATTACACATTCCACCATTATCTTGCTTTTCTGTAATTTGACTCGTTCTCATCTCCACACGTGCTAAATGGAATCCTGATGCTTGCCGATCTGTGACGTGACTGGCTCTTGGCACGCACTGCGCAGTTCAGTTTTTAATTATAATGTATGCTCTCTTCTGAACTAAATAATTGATAATTATTATTTTTAATTAATTCAAATAAATATTTTAGCAAAAACGAATACTTTAAAAAAGTCAAGACATCGCGGTGTCACGGTGGGAAAGTGATGTCACCGGTGATGGGGCTTAAAACCGGTAACACCGTCAACACTGTCTATCGCGGCAAGCCTAGTCCAGACGTATGCACCCTGTATTTTAAAGAAGAACATTTAATTATTTGCGATACATTATTCATTCACAAAGAATTCAGGGACATTATTCATGTCCCTAAAGGTCGGAGTTTTCCTCATTTTTTTAATTAAGGCATTAAGATTTTTTATTCCTCTTTTTAGTCAACTTTAGCATGGGTGTGTTCACTTCTAATTCTAAGCAGTGTGTGTGTGTATATATATATAATTAAAAAGCTATTTTAACCAGAAAAATCTACAATGCATGCCCAAAGTCGTGCAGCCATAAAGTTTCTCTTGATATCAGCATGTTCACAGGTGTTTATTATTTTTTTTTTACAGGGACAAAATGTAAAAAGAGTGCTGCTGAGTTCAACATTCAGAGGAGACTGTAATGAAAAATCAAACACCGTGGAAATGACAGGTATGTTTCAGGAATGAGACAATGCTGTGTGACTGTTCAAGCCTCTGTCTTTAGATCAGTGTGTTTACTAATGTGCTTTTTTTCCCTTTGTTGTGTATCTTTGGATTATGTTGTGTTGTAAATAAATCCAAACAATCTAAAAGCCATTCTTTTTTAAATCTCCTCATTCTTTGTGCAAGGCTCCTCGTAATGATAGGGCCTGATAGCACCTAATAGGGCCATTATGGGAGGGTCTTTGTCTTTCTCAGGTGTGAAATGCCATACATATTAATGAGAGATCACGCCTCCTCGCATAAAGCTTTCTCAAACAAAACACGTCATACACATTCTAAAAGACTTTATTGACTTATCTAAATGAGTAGTCAGGATGATTCTCACATAGTTTTGGAGCAAATATTCTAGACTATGTGATACAATTTTCAAAAGTCTTGTGAGATAAGTCTCTGAACGCTTTTGTTCACGTGCCTGGAGCTGCTGAAGTTACAGTACCAGGTGGCGCTCAAGCACTAAATGGTCTTGCCGACACATAGAAGACGACGACGAAGAGGAAGTAAGTAGATGAAGAAGAAGAGGCAACGAGGCAAGATGAATGTAGAGCTACTGGTATCTCTGGTGTCTGCACACAATGAACTGTATGACTATGCCACAGCGACTACAAAAATCTTGATAAGAGGGAGATGTTATGGAGAGGAATTGCAGATCAAATAGGATTCGATGGTGAGTAAAAAGCGCCATCTACTGTCAGGGAGTGAATTTTTTACGTTCACACAGCGCATCGCCAGTGAAAATCGCTTGGGTATGAACACAAAGACGCGCCGAAAAACCCCTCGAAAACCACTGACGATAAGCGCGTGCGATAATCATCCAGGTGTGCACGAGGCTGTGCACAACGGGGGCGTTCAGAGAACTACGGGGGCGTTCAGAGAACAACGGGGGCGTTCAGAGAACAACGGGGGCGTTCAGAGCGTTCAGAGAACTATGGGGGCGTTCAGAGCGTTCAGAGAACTACGGGGGCGTTCAGAGAACTACGGGGGCGTTCAGAGAACTATGGGGGCGTTCAGAGAACTATGGGGGCGTTCAGAGCGTTCAGAGAACTACGGGGGCGTTCAGAGAACTACGGGGGCGTTCAGAGAACTACGGGGGCGTTCAGAGAACTACGGGGGCGTTCAGAGAACTATGGGGGCGTTCAGAGAACTATGGGGGCGTTCAGAGCGTTCAGAGAACTATGGGGGCGTTCAGAGAACTACGGGGGCGTTCAGAGAACAACGGGGGCGTTCAGAGAACAACGGGAGCGTTCAGAGAACTACGGGGGCGTTCAGAGAACTATGGGGGCGTTCAGAGCGTTCAGAGAACTACGGGGGCGTTCAGAGAACAACAGGGGCGTTCAGAGAACTACGGGGGCGTTCAGAGAACAACGGGGGCGTTCAGAGAACTACGGGGGCGTTCAGAGAACTATGGGGGCGTTCAGAGCGTTCAGAGAACTACGGGGGCGTTCAGAGAACAACGGGGGCGTTCAGAGAACTACGGGGGCGTTCAGAGAACAACGGGGGCGTTCAGAGAACTACGGGGGCGTTCAGAGAACTACGGGGGCGTTCAGAGAACTATGGGGGCGTTCAGAGCGTTCAGAGAACTACGGGGGCGTTCAGAGAACAACGGGGGCGTTCAGAGAACTACGGGGGCGTTCAGAGAACTACGGGGGCGTTCAGAGAACTACGGGGGCGTTCAGAGAACTATGGGGGCGTTCAGAGCGTTCAGAGAACTACGGGGGCGTTCAGAGAACTACGGGGGCGTTCAGAGAACTACGGGGGCGTTCAGAGAACAACGGGGGCGTTCAGAGAACTACGGGGGCGTTCAGAGAACTACGGGGGCGTTCAGAGAACTACGGGGGCGTTCAGAGAACTACAGGGGCGTTCAGAGAACTACGGGGGCGTTCAGAGAACTACGGGGGCGTTCAGAGAACTACGGGGGCGTTCAGAGAACTATGGGGGCGTTCAGAGAACTACGGGGGCGTTCAGAGAACTACGGGGGCGTTCAGAGAACAACGGGGGCGTTCAGAGAACTACGGGGGCGTTCAGAGAACTACGGGGGCGTTCAGAGAACTACGGGGGCGTTCAGAGAACTACGGGGGCGTTCAGAGAACTATGGGGGCGTTCAGAGAACTATGGGGGCGTTCAGAGAACTACGGGGGCGTTCAGAGAACTACGGGGGCGTTCAGAGAACTACGGGGGCGTTCAGAGAACTACGGGGGCGTTCAGAGAACTACGGGGGCGTTCAGAGAACTATGGGGGCGTTCAGAGCGTTCAGAGAACAACGGGGGCGTTCAGAGAACTACGGGGGCGTTCAGAGAACTACGGGGGCGTTCAGAGAACTACGGGGGCGTTCAGAGAACTATGGGGGCGTTCAGAGCGTTCAGAGAACTACGGGGGCGTTCAGAGAACTACGGGGGCGTTCAGAGAACTACGGGGGCGTTCAGAGAACTACGGGGGGGGGCGTTCAGAGAACTACGGGGCGTTGAGAATCTATCTGGAGCGTTCTGCATTGTTTAGGCAATCAGAACAGCTTTTTGTCTGCTTTGGTGGTCGATCCAAGGGGGATCCTGTCACTAAGCAGAGACTGTCTAGATGGATAGTGGAGGCCATTTCTATGGCTTATACCTCAGTGGGTCAGGTTTGCCCTATAGGTGTCAAAGCCCATTCGACCAGAGGCATGGCCTCGTCGTGGGCGTGGTCATCTGGCTTTCCCATTCAAGACATTTGTGATGCGGCCGGCTGTGCCTCGCCATCCACATTATGAAATTCTATAATATGGAAGTACCTTCACTGCAGGCGAGGGTGCTTTCGGTATGATAAGGGCCCGGTTTAGTTTGGTCTTATTATCAATTGTT